CTGCTGTTGTGTATTATTCTACCAGATGGGGAGGAGTGGACAGCTAGAAAGGAAGCCGAACAGGCCTCAGGTTGGAGAAGTTGGCGTGGCAGCCGCTGATCTGGACCTTATCTGGGAATGGGTGTCCCATGCACTTTTATGTTAGGGTAACTTACAGTGTCCTGAACATTGGACACAGCTGTGAGTTTCACAGAAGTGGTGGCTGGACCCTGGGGCCGGGAGAGCTAGTTGATTTCCTATGATCCTTGCCATGATCCTCGCCATCGTATGCTTTCTGCAAACTCACTGCAGAACAGTTCTGCACAGCACCGGTGGTCAAGGGGGGAGAAAAAGGTAAAGGGCTGCCCTTAGTGACTCAGGAGTGGGGCTCTGTCCCCTGCCACCAGGGGCCATCTCCTGTATTGAAGACTCCTCTTCTCGGGTACAAGTGGAGTCATGTTTGAGGACCCCACTTCCCGGCAGGTGCCATCCACCCGAAACACTGAGCAATGAAAACCATCCCCGGTCCCGAGTCCCCGCACCTTTCAGCCCCACCCCTCCCTCCTCTCCACTGTCAACACCCACCAAGTCCTAACGCTGACTTCAAACACCATTTCGCATTTCCTCCCCAAGTAAATCACTGCAGGAACAGCAAACACACAGAAACCTGGTGAATGAAGGGTAAGAACACAATAAAAATTTCCACCAGTTATTATCTACTTAAGAGAGAGGCTCTGAACTGGCTGCCAAGAAACCTGTGAGCCTCATACCCAGAAGGCTGAGGACCCTGGAAAGGCGGAGATGCTGGGGTATGGCTCTCAGATCGTCCTCCTTGGGAAGGAGGCTGTGTTAGTAGCCAATTACATCCCCCTTCATGGATACCAATTTCCTGCAAGGAGCCAGGGGCTCATAACTTTTGGGATGAGTACCAATGGATAAATAGCTGTTGCTGCAGAATCCTGGGGATTTTATGTTACTCTTGGTACTGTGGGCTGGGACGGTGAGGAAGGAGCCCAGGAGGACGGATTTAATTTAGCAAGACGAGCCTAGTGCTTCTCAGAACGCAGAGACATGGTCACAGTTTTCCCCTGGGGTAGGAAGAAACCAAAGCCTGGGGAAAATGAAAGGCCATGGTGGCAATGTCGGATCCGAAGATAAGCCAATTACAGAATCTTTACCCTTGGTGGTAGCCAGTCTCCAAGATGTCCCCCCCCCCCC